TGACTTCTCATAATGGATTCGGCAAATACGGGAATCCGCATGAGATCAGAGGCCATGGTTGGCCACTGAGAACCCATTCCTGAATAAACAAACCAGACAGGACGCTTTTTGCCGGGGTAATGCTACAAAACGGTTAATTTAATTATGGTCTTAACAACTCGCAATCTTTATCTAACTTCGAATTCTTCTTTGACCTCGTTTGCCGTCAGAACGTAACCCCGATACAAATGACCTGGAATTGGGGTTGCAAAAATTTCCTGTATCAAGTTCGCGTATTCGACTTCATTTTTATGATCTTGTACCTAATATTAACATGATAAAAAAAATGTTATTTCTTTTCCACTGCTATTTCTTATTTCTTTTCTGGTTGTGCTTACCGTGCTAANCCCATGATAGGTTGATTAGAATTGTTTACGGCAGAATAATCGATGGGTCCTAGTTCTGGCTCTTTATCAGGGTTGACAGATTCGTCTTTCAGATTCAACCCAATATATCGAATATGTTTATTAGAAATAACATTCCTGGAATTATACGGTTATAGATGTATACATCTCAGCCATTAGTAAATTAATTGTTTTTATAATGTTGGGTAAGTTGAAATTTATACTAATTTTACTTTATTTTAAGGACGAATTGTAGGCAAGTACAGTATGAGTTTGAAACGAGCACTTGGCCCAATAAGAATTAGTATTAGAAAAATCTTGGAACATAAATGAACCTGGTTATTACGAAACAGGGTCAATCATGTACGGAAAAAGTATTAACTATTTTTACATACTGTTGTACAGCATCTGATTGCTTTCTCCAAACAGTTCATTAATTTCGTTATTTGTGACGTAAATGTGGTTCAATCGATAACTGAGGATGTCGTCCAAATCATCCAGAATATCGGAAAACTGGATTCCGTTTTGCCACTCAACCGTGCACGTCGGAAAACCGGCTTCTGACCTATTCTGACATATTCCAGTGAACTCTTTCATGAAATTCACAAACAAAGCCTTTGGAGCTTTTGTTTTTAATTCAGCATCGATGTACTGGACTGACTTTATATCAGAATTTCGAAGTTTCTCATAATTACTTGGTAGCAAGAACACCGCATTGATGGGGCCTTCAATTAAGAAAGATACCATTCAGCCTGCTCAGAGAATTTTTTGGTGCGTCACCAACATCATGATTTTTTATATTTACCTAACATGAAAACTTCGGAAATGAGTTCCATCGCAGAGTCTCTGGTATGAGCTTCAAATGGTGCGTGAATGATGTCAGCATTATAAAACGACTTTAAAAGTGTTAGGCGCCTTGTTAAATTGGACTGTTGGGGTTTTGATTCGGATGCTGCTATAATTTTCTTAGCTCCTCGCAGCACAAGCCATTCTGCCATATCAATCCACGACTCCTCATTGCCACCTTAAACAAATAAATTTTTAGTTAGCATTCTGTCGAAATCCATTTTGTAATCCGGTAGCGCAAATAATACATAAGTCAAAATACACTAGTGTGTTGCTACTAGGCAATTCATTACGTCTTTTTCTTGCACTTTCAGAAATAAAATATACTTCTTACCGACTATAAGATACGATGACCGGTAATCGCAGTGAAATTTAGTCATGTTAACAGTATTTAGTTGTCCTAAAGGAAGATTATGAGTCACCTGGATGACTTTTCTGGTAATATTTCCTTTATCATTTAGGTCACTAAAAGATGCATTGATAATATAAACTCAATTGAAAATAATTTCGTAAAACTTTTATTACCTCAAAAGCTTTTCGATATCAAATTTATCGTAGACTGCTTTAAACAAATGTCTCACCACAAGATTATCAATACCTTTTTGAACGAGGTTGGCAACAGACCGTTTTTCTTCAATTGAACATTGAAATATTGACTCGAGGGAGACGTGATAAAAACTTACGTGTTTAAAAAAAACTCCCAATCCCATCGTTCCGTTTTGTTCCATGTCATACTGACCTAGTTGAATGAATCTTCCGTACATACCAAGGCATCTCAACGACGCTTCAAAGAATCTTCCCGATAAATTGTTAATAACCACTTGGGCACCCTTCCCTTGTGTTGCTAACAAGAATAAAGGTTCGAAATCCGCAGTGACATTACTGTATACATTCCTATCAATAAGCTAAAGGAAACAAATACTTTAATGTATTTAGATCATTTGATTTATTAGGCTAACATAAGTTATTGGTTCTCATCAGCGCACTGTGCTTGCTGCCATCAAAAATTCAAAGATTTTAGTAACTTGAAGCATTTACTTAAGGTAATCTATAATTCAAGCTAATTCTTGCTTTTGATACTCTTCATATGTTTCGATTTTATTTGTTGCATGTTTCAAGTCCAATAGGTACTTCTCGAAACTGTAAGACTGTTCTACTTACCCTATCAAATTTTTGTAAAATGTAGGCCTTCTGTTGGTCTGTAGTCACCGTGACGAAAACGTTACATCCAATGCTAAGGGCAATACAAACACAGGCAAAACCAACCCCAGTACAAGCGGAATGGATGAGTACATTTCCTCCAGTGGTAACCCTTGCTTTATTTATCAAACAATGATAAGCCTGCGGACATAAAAAAATCACTACAGTTGTTCGTATATGCAGTCTACGTTCTGTTGTAAACATGTTTCTGGTAATGAGCAAAACAAGTTGCACATATGGAAGACAAAGGCAACTGCTATAATTCCAAGGACAAGTCTATGAGCAAGAACGGGAGGACAAACCCGAGGCTGCTACAGTCTTCGGGGGATGAACAGCTTTCGGGTTTATCTCCCCACTCAAGAAGGGGTTTTAGTCTGTAAAAATCCGACACTACCTACCCTCAGGAGGGGTCTTGGAGATTTCCCCTCCTCGAGAATAATCTCGATTTCGGTTTTGCATTTGTTCTTCACCATTTCTTTTCAGACTCATCTGCTGTGGTTCATGAATCGGAATTTTCAACCAAGTTATCACTTACCACAGTAGAATAGTCCGAAAAGAGGTTTGCAACCAAATTATTGAACAACTACAGACAGCGGAGAGAACGCCGTCTGCAGAGATTTACCGCTAGATGTGACATAAGATTCTTGTTCAATACGTTTAAGTTTGCCTACCATGGCGTACGAATAAGGAACAGCTGCAGCATCGTCTAAATTCCAACCGTCAGGCACATTCCAGCAAAGAACAGAATCGGGAATTATTTGATACGAACTCCTGTCAAAGCACGCTAAGCCCATGATAGGTTGATTAGAATTGTTTACGGCAGAATAATCGATGGGTCCTAGTTCTGGCTCTTTATCAGGGTTGACAGATTCGTCTTTCAGATTCAACCCAATATATCGAATATGTTTATTAGAAATAACATTCCTGGAATTATACGGTTATAGATGTATACATCTCAGCCATTAGTAAATTAATTGTTTTTGTTCCTACCCGGAGGCATGGAATATTTGTTTAGCTTCTTCTCGAAGTTCTGTAGGAATGGACAGATAACTACCAATCTGACCATCACTAATGACAGTAAGAACCAGGTCATGCTTCAGTATACTCTTGAATATCGATTTAGAATCATCAAATGTGACCTTTTCTTTATCAAGTAGAAATATGAACCTAATTTAGACATATGAAACAAATATAAACTTAGAAGTTACCGAATCAAAATAGTACCGTACCTTAACAATTCCGAATTTTGGAATTGTTTTTGAACGTCTCCCACAAAGTTTTTGATACCCTCGTATGGACTAACATTTGAAACCAGGTACAGTCTTTGTTTGGGTTGAAGATTTTCCAAAGTGTTTCTAAATTGCATTACCCATTGTAAATTATTTCTGACTAAGTCTTTCGATGTTAAAGTGTCACCGTGAATATAAACCATTACTGCTGTGGTGTTAACAGCCTGTTGAATACTTAATATTAATAATAATAAT